ATAATTAACAGAAAAAAGTCAGGTCTCTATTATTTTCTCGTTATATATGATCTATCTCTAACAATCCTTTTAGATCTTTTTCATAGCTATCTCCAGGCATTAATGAATTCCATCCTATACAAACACCCCAAACACCATTCACAACCTGTAAGCAGCTCAATCCTTCCATCAAAGGCGACCACCGAAAGTGATCAGAGACCCCACTACCATTGTCACCCACCACGGCATCACAGACCACCACCACCAACTTTCAGCCACCATTTGCTCCCCTGTAAACATATATCAATGGAAATGTTTTGCACCTATACGCATATATAGTGGGTGTTTGGGAAGTTGCTATTTTAGTAGACTATTCTAGTTTTTGGCTATTTTAGGAGGCTAAAAATTTTGTGTTTGGGAAGATAGTTTGATTTTTTTGTAGTTGAATGTGATGTGTGTGAGAAAAAAAGTAAAATGATTATGGGTTTGATGTGACATTTTGTCTTATTGGCTATTTTAATTTATTTTGTCTTTTAGTGCTATTTTAGCCAAAAAAACTAAAAAAACACCCCCATAGACACACACATACACATATATATACGAGGGAAAAAAAGAGGAAAGACTTAAATAACTGACTTATTTAGGTTTCAATTATGGTGATTTGATGGTTACTTGGGTGTGATGGAGAGAGGGAAAAAGATAGAAAAGGTTGTGTGGTTAACAGGTTGTGATTGGTGGCCTGATCACGGATGGTTTTGAGTATATTGGTTTTGTAATGATTTGGGTATTAAGATACATGCAGTGGGTCTGTTATTATGATTGCCAACGTGGAGTGGTGTGACAGTTGATTGTGTAGTAGCAGTGAGGTGGTCTGATGTTGCCATGGAATGGCAGGTGGTTGGGGAAAATTATGGGGAGGTGGCAGGTGGAGATGTGTGGGAATTTGGAAGTGCCATGTGATGAGCGAAGAGATTGGGCAGTTGAGGAAGAAAATGGTAAGTTATAATTGAAGGGTTAAAAAGTAAACAAACATTTTCTGTTAACGGCATTTACAATTTTTTTAAGTGTTGAGTTTTAAACATTAGGGAGGCAACTCAAAAGCAAGTCATAGTTGAAGGGGGTTTACTGTAGTTTTCCTTTTTTTCTAAAAAAAACCGTTATGAAGTTCCCCACTGCAGCTATGGAGTCCGGATCCCCTCCTTGCAACACCTCCTTGCAACGGCTGAGATCAGCAGTTGCAACATCCAACGGCCATAAAAAAAAAATAAAAATAAAAATAAAGAAATTGAAATCAGCCGTTGGATGTTGCAACAGCTGATCTCAGCCGTTGTAAGGAGGATTGCAAGGAGGGGATCCCAACTCAGCAGCTATGAAATGATAAATTTCCTAGGTGTTTTTATCCCCCATTTCTTAATATTAGCAACTTAAATACAATCAATAATGCACAAATGTATGTTGTTCAACAAACAAGGCAACAAGCCAGCACTTGCTCTGTTAGATTGATGTGAAAACTAGTGTTAAGTCTTGGATATTTAACCTGTGTAATCAATTTCTTGTGAATACTGGATGTTTTAAACAGATTTCCGTACATGGATGAGTCAAGTGGATGTTTCAGTTGTACGAAAATTACTTCTTTCGTGTCCATAGCATTTGAAACAAATATTTATCTTGCTGATTCTGAAATAAATTTTGTAAGATATCCAACACTTGATAACTGTATAGCACATCTAAGGTTACTAACCATGGGACCAATAAGGCTGTGTTTGGATTATGGATTTGGGTAGGATTTGGAAAGGGAAAGGGAAAGGGAAAATGAAAAGGAAAAGGGGTGTAAATGTAGTTATATTTCATTCCCATTTCACCTACCTTTTCCCAATCCCTACCCAAATCCATGAATCAAACATAGCTTGAAGAAAAAAAGAAAAAGAAAAACATGGACCAACAAACCTATCTGTGTTTTTCTTTTATTTAATTTTATAATGATGTATTTATTTATTTCAATTTGCAGACTTCTATATTAGTTTTGTATCTGGATGTCAATCAGAGCATGCTTATAGCTTACTATTTTCTTGACCATATGAAATTGGGATTTGATATTCAATTTCATTAAACAATTTTTCACAGAATAACAATGTGGATGTGACAAAGTATGTCCAAGTACAACAACCTCCAGAGAAAGTATCCAAAACATCGAAGCCCTCGGCCAGTGCTTATGGGTCTGCATCATCGGACCGCCCTTATTGTTGTCCATACGAAGGGTGTGATAAGGCGTACATCCACGAATACAAGCTGAACCTTCATTTGAGGAGAGAGCATCCGGGTCATTTGTCTGACGAGAACACTAAGAACACACAATCCGCAATCGACAATGATATGGATGAAGGCAGCGACCAAGATGCGTACGCCGGAAAACGCGGAAACAGCAGTAAGATGCAGAAACAGAGCAAGCCCAAGCCGAATTTGAAGCTGCCTCCTTCGAAAGTTGCACGCAAGGGCTCAACTGCATCTCCTGCTAATTTGAATTTAGTGAAAAAAGCGTGGCCAGTTAAAGAAGAGGTGTATGAAGAAGAAGAAGATAGTGAAGAAACAGAAGAGGACCGAGATAATGTTGAGGATGGATGGAGGTATGCTGAAAATAATGAGGATGATGATGAAGAGACAGAGTATGAGGACTAAGGTTTTTACCTTTGATGCCGAAACCTGTTGTAAGGACAATGGATATAGTTTTACATACCGTATCTATGCTTTTAATTTTTTCAACTGTCCTTCCCAAACCCCGATTAGCAGAACCCTTGTGCAGTAGGTTGCTCGTTTATTTTTTTAAGCGACTTCTCCTGAAGGAGTAATGGTGATGTGGACTTTTAGAATTAAGCAAGTGAGATCAGATGGAACTTAAATATAGTGGTTTAATTTCTCTCCACACCTTTATTTTTAATTATTTTTTTTGAAGGTACGAGAGGTTTTTTGTAAGGTACAAGGGTTTGCCTGTAGTGAGTGGAAGAAAAATTTAATGGGTGCATTTAGAGGCTTTTGAGAAATTGGAAGGTATGATAATTTTATGTGAAAGACTTTGATGAATGACTTGAAAGTTGAAACCAAGCTTGTGCATTGTCTTATACTTGAAGTGGTGGTAACATGCAATAGGAAGATTTGAATGGAAATCTGGTAAACATTCTTCCAAAAACATTTGAGCTAACTAATTTTAAACCTTAAGCCTAACTATTTTGTTTTTTAACATGCAAGTTATAGGGTTAAAACCTAAACCTATTATTTATTGACCCAAGCTTACGTGCCCTCGGCCTGGCAGTCCGCCCAGCAAACTTAATATTTTTAGGACTAGAGCTAAATTCATTTCAGAAGCTGGTCCCATTGAAGCAAATTAATACCCACCAAGTCCGGCCCTATTTCAGTATTCAATTTTACTCCTCAATGTCACACCACATGTGTGAAGTAAAAGAAGATATCACGAGCTTTCCCCTGTGCACGTGACACACACGCTCCTTCTCAATTGTTCTGATTTGGAAACTATTTCGAGGCAATTTGGAAACCATTTTGAGGCGATTTGCGATTTGGAAATCAAATCTCCCATGTTTCCAAAGAAATCACCTCTGTTTCGATCTATATTCTGATTTTGAACAGATCCCCAGCAAATCTTCCACCGTTTCGATCTATATTCCCTGTTTAGTTCGTCTTCAACAAACATGCGAATCAAACGTGAGTCGTATTCATCTTTCATTCTTCTTTTATAATTATAATTAAGTGATATTCAACTTCATAATAATCACATCTTCATGTTCATTTGCTATACAATAACAGATTTGCTTATTTTGCCAAATTCAGTGAGAAAATTTGCTATAAGAATGATAGATTTGCTTAATTTTCTTAATTGAGTGATAAAATTTGTTATAATGATGGATTTGATTCCCTTCTTCTTTCATAACTATAATTGAGTTATAAAATTCGACTTGAAGCTATTTTCAATGTGTATCATACAATATTAATTTATGATTGATATTCAACTTCATAATAATCATATCTTCATGTTCATTTGCTATACAAAGATGAATTTGCTTACTTTTGCTAATTCAGTGATAAAATTTGATATACAATAACATATTTGCTTATTTTGCCCAATTCAGTGAGAAAATTTGCTATAAAAATGATAGGTTTGCTTAATTTTCCTAATTGAGTGATAAAATTTGTTATAATGATGGATTTGCTTCTCTTCTTATTTCATAACTATGGATTTGCTTCCATTTTTCTTTCATAACTATAATTGAGTAATAAAATTTGACTTGAAGCTATTTTCAATGTGTATTATACAATATTAATTTATGAGTGATATTCAATTTCATAATAATCACATCTTCATGTTCATTTGCTATACAATGATGGATTTGCTTACTTTTGCTAATTTAGAGATAAAATTTGATATACAATGACAGATTTGCTTACTTTGCCCAATTCAGTGATAAAATTTGCTATAAAAATAATAGATTTGCTTAATTTTCCTAATTGAGTGATAAAATTTGTTTTAATGATAGATTTGCCTCCCTTCTTCTCTTATAACTATAATTGAGTGATATAATTCAACTTGAATCTATTTTCAATTTGTACCATACAATATTAATTTATGAGTGATATTCAATTTCATAATAATCACATCTTCATGTTCATTTGCTATACAATAACAGATTTGCTTATTTTGCCTAAAAATTGTTATAACAATTATAGATTTGCTTAATTTTCCTAATTGAGTGATAAAATTTGTTTTAATGATAGATTTGCCTCCCTTCTTCTCTCATAACTATAATTGAGTGATATAATTCGACTTGAATCTATTTTCAATTTGTACCATACAATATTAATTTATGAGTGATATTCAACTTCATAATAATCACATCTTCATGTTCATTTCCTTTACAATGATAAATTTGTTTACTTTTGCTAATCCAGTGATAAAATTTGCTATACAATGCCAGATTTGCTTATTTTGCCCAAATCAGTAAGAAAATTTGCTATAAGAATGATAGATTTGCTTAATTTTCCTAATTGAGTGATAAAAGTTGTTATAATGATGGATTTGCTTCCCTTCTTCTTCAACGAACATGCGAATCAAACGTGAGTCGTATTCATCTTCCATTCTTCTTTTATAACTATAATTAAGTGATATTCAACTTCATAATAATCACATCTTCATGTTCATTTGCTATACAATAACAGATTTGCTTATTTTGCCCAATTCAGTGAGAAAATTTGCTATAAGAATGATAGGTTTGCTTAATTTTCTTAATTGAGTGATAAAATTTGTTATAATGATGTAGTTGATTCCCTTTTTCTTTCATAACTATAATTAAGTGATAAAATTCAACTTAAAAGTATTTTCAATGTGTATCATACAGTATTAATTTATTAGTAATATTCAACTTCATAATAATCATATTTTCATGTTCATTTTCCATACAATGATAGATTTGTTTACTTTTGCTAATTCAGTGATAAAATTTGCTATATAATGACAAATTTGCTTACTTTGCCTAATTCTGTGATAAAATTTGCAATAAGAATGATAGATTTGCTTAATTTTCCTAATTGAGTGATAACATTTGCTATACAATGATGAATTTCCTTACTTTACCTAATTCAGTGATAAAAATTGTTATAACAATGATAGATTTGCTTAATTTGCTTAATTCAGAGAGACTTATTAACAGCCCACAATAAGAAGACACTTCTTAAGTTGATCAATAACAAAACACTTCTATAAAAAAAAAAATGCAACGAAACCAAATTATAATATTTTATTTTCAAAATGTTTTTACAGGCTTGATTGTGGAATCATTGTTTGCTGTATCATGAGGCAATATGTTTCCAGCAACAACATAATGTCTACTTTTTCCAAAGAAGAATGCAATCAATTGAGAGCCAATATATTAACTATCTTCTTGATTGACCAACAAACTGCTCAACAATAAATAATTGATGAAAACATTGATGGCTTGCCTCCGCAATAATCAACAGATCTGGAAGAAAAGAAAACATTTTGCTTGTTTGTTTGTTATGCTAATCAACAGATCTGGAAGAAAAGAAAACATTTTGCTTGTTTGTTTGTTACAGTGTAATAAATAGGAAACATTGATTCGTTTAGTTGTTAGAATGTAAATACTTCATACATTTGACTTGTTTGGTTGTTACAGTGTTGTCTATAGTTTGATCATTTTTGTTCGTACTTTACTTCAATGAATATTATAATGCTTGGTTGTTACAATGTTAAAATTACAGACAATATACTAAATGAAAATTCAGTCTTTTTTAGCTATATTTTTACCAGATCTGGCTTTGATATCAATCTTACTTTATGCTTAATAACAAGTTTGGATCCCTTCATTTACTAACATGACATTTTTTTTTACACTGATAAATTCATCATTGTTCAAACTAACAAAAATCAGCAACTCTCTCTCTCCCTCTCTCTCTCTCTCTCATTTTTTTTCCTAATTCAAGTAAACAAAACAATATAAAAAATAATAAACAATTTATCTAAATTGAAAATAAAACACAAACACTATTACATTATCCAAATTGAGAATTAAAACACTATTGTAATTTGTAGATATTTTTAAGTTTGAGAATGAATATAAGAACATGCCATTTTGGGTATATGGAGTGGAGATAAAGTTCTAACAGTAAATCCAAAAAAACAAACCGTACATACATTTTAACATTTAACTCCAAGAACCAGTTATTTATGAAGAAATATGATCTTATTCAAGACCTGATGATAAACTGTTGCATTTAAAGCATTTCTTAGACTGAAATTTTGAACAATTTAATCTGAAAATGAATTGCAAACTCAAAATATTTTGCTTCAAGGATCCCACTGATAGTTAATTGCATAGTGGCAGTAATGTAGCACAGATTGGGAAACTTAGTCCCAAACTACCTACAATTGATTTTTCTTGAGTTTAAGCCACTGATAAATTTATCACTGTAAAAAAGAACATTTGGTTGGATATGACAGTGATAAATTTATCAACCACTGACATAAATGTAATAAACCATTAACTCTTTCCATACAGTCAGTTATAAATTTATCATTCTTAAAAATAACAAAATTCAGCAACTCCATTAATGCTTGATTATTTCCTTCAGACAATAGTAAATTTATCACTCTTAAAAAAACATAATCCACCAACTCATTCAAACCAACTAGGGATAAATTTACCACTGTATAAAACACCAAAAACATCAACTACATTTAACCAAAATCAAAAAATATAAATCTGTGAAACTTAATCTTGTAAAAATATCAACAAAAAATATAATTTTCGTTCAAAAAATTCCTCAATCATCCAATGCAACTACCAAAATGATATATCTTTCAAAAAATACTCAAACATTCAATGCAAGTAACACCTCTCAACTCTCAACAAAAGTAATTCAATTAAAATCAACACAACTAAAGCAAGCTTCTTTACATGTCTTTCAATTATGAGTTCCTATCTTTCCACACTTACTGCACCTAATTCTCTTGATCCGCCCTTCGAAGGTATTCTCTCTATTCTTGGACATCCAACTGGTTTCTTACAAAGAGGAGGTAAAACAACGTCATCATCAAGAACTACATTTGGCTTCCACATACTAGGAACTGGATAGATAGAATGCGAATAAGAATTACAACAACTACGAACATGGTAGTAATCATCAAGAAAACAATTCAGATCCTTCTCACTCCTCTTTATAGCATAAAAACCATGTTTGCAAGGAAAAGAATCAATTTCCAACAACCGACAAGAATAAGACTATTTCCCAATATCAACCATAACTGAATGATCCAATTGGATTTCATGAATATCATCGCTACATTTCTTAACTATCCATGCCTTTGTATCATTAAAAGCTTTTTCTAACTTTTTCTCTGCAAAAGGACAAACAATACGATTCCACTTATTTCCAACTTCTCACCTTTTTGAAAATTGCTCCATTAGTTTCACCCGTATAGCATCAACAATATTAGTTGAAAACAAATGGTGCTTATCCCTAATCCACGAATTAAAAGATTCTGCAGCATTTGTGCACATTTCACCATACCTCTTGCCTTGAAAATAAGGGTTACACCAACACTCATTAGGCAAATCCTCAAGAAATTTCAGAACATTACGACTACAACGACCCTTAAATTCTTCAAATAGCTCATTAAACAACTCAATAGTAGGAGAATATGCACATCTACTAAAAGGAGTGAGCAAATACTTTTTAGATTCGCAACTCTTCACTGACAAATAAGTCTTCAAGTTCGTTTTCAAATGCATTGGACAAAAAGAATGAGAAGAAAACGAAAAGACCTTAGCTAAAACTTTCAGCAAACCTCCATGTTGATCAGTAACAAACGTAATATCCCTTCCCGGAGTCAAAATAACAAATAACTTTGACAAGAACCAATGCCAATTGTCATAACGTTCACTATCAACAATAGCAAAACATAATGGGTATAAACCTGCAAACAAAACATATACACATTATTTGTAACAAATAAAAAAGATTACAAAACAAAAGCAAAACGCAAAGTATATAACATATAGCACCAACCATAGATAACTTTATCACTGTATCACTACAACAATTCAATAACAACATACAACATATAGAATCAATGCATAATAAATTTATCACTGTATAAATATAAAAATTTAACAAAAGTATACAACATAAATTTATCACTATTTGATTGACCATACTCAATAATCAACACTCTCCAGTAACAAAAATGATAAAATTATCATTGTTTTAATAATAATAACAAATAGACATAGAATATACCTTGGTTACTGTCTTTTTCCGTAGCAGCCAATAAACAACCTTTGTGTCTTCCTTTCAAGAAAGTTTCATCAAGCATCAACACAGGCTGACAATACTTGAAACCATGAATACATGCCTCAAAAGCGAAAAACAGGCATTTGAAATGTCTTCCTTTACTATCAATATCAAGTTTCATATAAAAAACACTCCCCGGATTACAATCATTAGCGATATCAACATATCAACGAAGATCGTCAAATGAAGATGAATAGTCACCAAAAACAACATCCCTTGTTTTTTCAACACGCATCTAAGCTCGCCGATAAGAAACTTCTGTTCCACAATAGTCCTTAAAATCACAAACCACCTCACCAACCGATGTCAAAGCCTTATTACGAACCTCACTTGAAATTAGCCCACCAATCATACTTGAAGTCATCCACACGTATGAACATCATCAAATTGTTTAATAACAAAAGCTTTACTAGAATTTTCCACTCTAACATGCACACTCCATAAACATCCCAAATCAGCCCTTCTCTTACAATGAATTGTGACACGATTCTTGTCATTCTTAACAAAATCAAAATCAAAACCGGAATGAATAGAATACTTTGACAATGCATCTCAAAATTCAACAACTCCTTGAGCAAACTTTTGACCCACTTCTTTTATACAATTAAGCCACCTATCGGAGAGCAAATGTTTCCGTTGATTTACATAAAATGAAGGCAAAAAATCAGTTTCACAAACAACACTACTACTACTACTACTACTACTACTACCAACTTCACCATCACAAATCATATAACCTTCACCCAAAGAACAACACTTAACAAAAACATCAATACGATGAATATCACAAGAAAGTGCGAGTCCAACCATAACCTCCAAATCCTCTTCACTTTGTAGATCATAATAAGAATGTACAGGCATTAAATACGATATATTCAAAGAATTACCAACTAACTCACTCCACTTTACACACAATTTATATACTAAATCCTTGAAATTAAATCCATCATTATACTTGATAACCAATGTCACATCTCTAAATTTGCACATAAGAAACAAAGAATTTTCCATCACTATAAATCTTACAACAAACAACAATTATATTTTAGCAAACAACGCAAACAACTTAAAGCAAAATCTAATACAGTGATAGAATTATCAACCAACTCAAACACATCCAAAAACCAACAGTGATAAATTTAACAATTAACACTACCTAAGACCAAGAGCATGAACAGTGAATAAGGCTTATACTTATTGGGCATGGTAACTCGATTTGAATCTTACCATTATATTATGCAACTTTTTCATCTTCTACTCCTATACTCACTGATAAATTTATCAGTGTTGAAAAAGTTAATCCAACGATACCCCCAAACTACTCAGTGATAAAATTATCACTGTAGAAAATCACAAACCAACACCTGTGTTCAACCAAAACAATTTCGTAACCAAAAAAAAAAAAATCTAATATTCATTACATATACATATGTCAAAGCTTTCAATACCATGATAAAAATACAAATTCAATCGCAGAAACAACAGAATAATAACAATATCATAAACAAAATCAAAATCACAAACTCAAACTAAAAAACACCAAAATATCGAAATTGAAATCAAAATCAAACATACCAGTTGAGCTCCATCCACAAAATCTAACTATACACCAAACGTGAAATCACAAAACACGAAGATTCACAGATTTATAAAAAACAAATCACAAGTAGAGCTCCCTCCATGAGATTGCAAATCGCAAAATCCAAATATACACCAAGCGCGAAATCACAAATCACGAAGCTCCACAATAATGCATTAACAAATCGCGAAGTTCCACAGAAATTCAAATCACAAACCCAAACCCAAACTCACATTACAGTATTTTGATGGCAAAAATCAAATAGAAACGTGCCAAAATAGGGGAAAATAGGGTAAAACAGGTAAAAAAAAAGACTCCAGGACCTATTGATGCACAACATCACTATTCAGGACTAAGAAGGGAACAACTATAAAAAGTAGGACCGGCCAGTAAATAACCCTAATATTGTTAGGGCTTTGCATAATATTTTGAGCCAGTTTATGTTTTAGGGTATGCTTCGGATGAAAATTCTACCCTGGTTTGATTGGCCCAATAATGAAATATTATAAAAAAAAAAAAATATTGCATATAATTTTATTTCTTGTGTGATTTTTTCATTTCAAGATATAAGCGAGTGGGTTCGATATGCATTTACGAACATGGGTCCCATTGTTTTGTATTTAGAAGTGAGAAAATGAGATAATAAACGAAATTATGTACAAAATTGCTCTATAAAATATTAAATGATCGTTTTAGGATATTTTAGCTAAAATACAAAGATAGGGAAAAAAAAGTAAAAATGGAAGACATTGAATTGTAGATAATGGTTTGGAAAATAAAAAAATAAAAAAATTTAACAAAGAGTGATGATATACATACAAAAATTTATACATAATAATGTGGTTCAATGTATATCTTTCATTTTAAAATAAAATATCTATATAGATGAATTTATTTACAAATATGACATTATCACATTATTCTTGTAAAAATTTTTATATTAATTTTATGTATGAGTAAAAATTAAACTCAAACCATTAATGCATTTAATAGTTTTTTTTTTCCACTCAACACTCCATTATAAATGTTTATAGAGAAATTAACTCAAAAAATTAAGGGGAAATTGCAAATCAGTGGGATCTTCTCAAAATAATTGCAAATTCATGAAAAAAATTATGATTTCAATTGTTAAAGTTGATAAAGTATTCTACTAATTTGTAATTATTTTGAGAAGACTTCAATTAATTGCAATTTCTTCAAAAATTAATATATTTAATAATTTTTGCCATTAAATCCTCTATAACAAATGCTTGGTAGCACCTACTCTTATCCATTATGAATGAGGTTAATATATGTTTAGATTATGGATTTGATTAGAGATTTGAAAAGAGGGAAAAAAAATATGGGTAAAATATAGTTATATTTTATTTACATTTACCTTTTTTTTAATTTTATTTTCTAAATCTCTATCTAATTTTATGATCCAAATATACGGTAAAGGTAAATTACGCTATTGGTTCTTGTAATTTGAGTGAAATTTCACTTTGATTCTTTTAGTTTCAATTTGAACAATTTAAATCTTACACTTTTAATTATGTTGCAATATGTCTCTCTGTCACTCACCGTTAAAATTTTGAATGAAAAAAATTTCATGTGCAAAATTAGAAGGGTTAAAGTCAAATTTAAAATAAATTATAAGAATGCAATTCCTTATTACATAAAGATTACGGCAGTCCCTTATTTTAATTATCTAATGCTAATGCATCTTTCTTTTATCAAATCTAAGATTACAACAATCCCTTATTTACCACAGCGTTGAATTGTACCAACTTTAATTGTGCCATTTATTTGTCATCTTTATCATTAAGTATTCCTTTCTTAAAAAAAAAAGTCTTCTTCAAAATTCCACATCACAAAAATTACGTTGGCAATCCTTATATATAGTTTGATTCTTGTATGAATTTAGTTCTTATAGTTTTGATTACATCAATTTCATCTTTGAATTTTTTTATTATTTTAATTTAATTCAATTGATAATACCTAAAAATTTTAAAAATTTTACCAAATGTCTTACATGGGTGTAAAACTCACACAATGTAAGCCCCATGTGGGACCCATACCCATGTGAGATACTTAGTAAAATTATAAGTAAAATTGGAAAATGCTATGGACCCCAAATAAATTACCAAATTTTCTACCAAACCTCTCACATGGGTGTGGGATCCACACAAATCAAATGTGTGTGGGTCCCACACCCATGTGAGAGATTTGGTAGAAAATTTGGTAATTTGTTTGGGGTCCCTAGCATAACTCAGTAAAATTTTTAAAATCTCTAACATTTTTTAAAAAGTAGACTTCAATCAATAAATGCTTTTAGATATCAAGCCATTAATACATTTAATGCACTCAATTAAGTATATTAACCGGGTTGTGTTTGGTCGGACTTTCAAAGTGTGATTCCATCCTTTGGTTTCAGTATGATATTTGGTTATAGTTTTTAAAAATTGAATCCACACCCACTTTTCAAAACATGTCTACTCGGTCATCTTCCCAGACGTCTCCTCAAACGTCCGGTTGACCGAGATAGTGTTCGGGATTTTTTTTATTTTTTTAATTTTTTTTTCACGTGTTATTTTTATATTTTAAATAAAAAAATATTTTTGAAATTTTTTGAAATTTTTTATTAGCTTTGAATAGAATTTTAGATGGTGTGTTTGGTTATGAGTTGTAAATTTTTGAATCAAATATCATATGCCACATCACTCAATTCAAAATTCATTACCAAATAAATTTTTCACACTCAAATTATAATTTCAAAACTTACAAACTCAAAATATAACTCTATTTTCAGATTATAATTTTAAAACTCTACCTGTACTATTATGCTTTGATATTAGATGAAATGTATTTTGGAAATAAATAAAAAATGTCAAAATTGATAAAAAAAGAAAAAAAAAATTGTCATGTTCTTATTTCTTCTTCTTCTTCTTCTTAGGCCCCCAAAACACTTAAAGAATAATTTTAGTATATTTTGACAAAAATATTATATTTTAACTTTGTTTTTATCTTCAAATATTTTCCTAGTCAATGCCATGGGGACATTCTACCATTTTCTTGAGTTACCTTATTTTAGGTCATATCATGGATGTCCAATTAAATGACATCATTTAATTATTTGTAATTAAAGGATAAAATGCAAGTAAAATTACAATCATATTTTATTTTAATAATTTAGTAACATTACAACAATATTTTATTAGTCAATGCCATGAGGACATTCTACCATTTTCTTGAGTTACCTTATTTTAGGTAAAATCATGAATGTCTAATTAAATGACATCGTTTAATTATTTGTAATTAAGGGATAAGATGCAAGTAAGATTACAATAATCTTTTATTTTAATAATTTAGTGAGATTACAGCAAATTACAATAATTCCTTATTCTAATAATCTAGGAAGATAACAGTAATTCCTTATTACAATATTACAATAGGGTTACAACAATCCCTTATTACAAAAGATTACAACAAACTCATATCAGAACAAGGTTATAGTAATTCTTTATTACAACAAGATTACAGAAATATTACAACATTTTTTT